CGAAGGGAGGTCAATCGATACTGGCGTGATAATTGTTGTTGTGGGAGAACTCGGCTAGTGGAGGATAAGTATCCTAACTCCCGCCAAAATCTAACAAACACGCCCTGAGCATATCCTCGAGCGTCAGAATCGTTCGCCCACTCTGTCCATTGGTCTGGGCGTGGTATGTTGTACTGAAATGCAGCTGAGTACACAACTCCTCATGTAACTTATTCAAAAACCTGGAGATGAAGCGTACACATCGATCCGAAACCAACAAAATTGGCACCCCCTTCCGAACCACCACATCCTGGATGTAAATGTCAGCCAGTTTCTCAATAGATATACTGTAACAACAACAAATTAGGGCTAGTCAGTTTGACTATTATAAGCGTTAAAATTTACTTTTTAACAGAGGTTTATTTAGGATAAAATAATGTTAGCCAAATTTATAGTATATAAGACAAAGATTTCGTACATATAAAGAACACCCAAATCCGACTTTGAGGGAAGAACTTATGACATTTTGTAGTTTTGCGTTCGAACCGTATGTCATAAATAATGAATCAGAGATAGGTTGCTTTTTAGCCTAGGTTATCTAAACAAAACTCATAGTAGTCGTCGAACCGAGAACGTGTATATAGAGAACGTCCAAATCTAACTTCGTGAGAGGAAGTTAGGATTTTCACAAGTTTCAGCGTAGCAGTATAAGGCTTAAAAACTGAAATTTGAATTGGTCAATTTTTAGGAAAAACAATCTAAAAGAGAGTTGAAGATCTTGTCCTCATGATTCCGTTGATATAAAGATAGTTGAGAACGTATATCATATGAGAGGGTTATGAAGTCTAAGCTTGTTAAAAATATACCTTTAAAAATAAAGTCAAAATTAGCCAACGAGGTCTAAATGAAAGTGATAGATCTCACCGATAACTGCGCATGGATATAAAACCCATCGAAAATGGAGCTCCTATGAATTAGTTATGATTTTTCTAAGAATTTCAATCTTCCTGCGTGCACCCGCACGCACAAACAGCGTGTGCGGCGCGCACTGACACTCCACCAGATGCTCAACACCCGGCACCACATAGAAGATGACACAACATCACTTCCAACCAAATGCGCGACATGCAGGGGACCAGGTGCATGACATGCATTGCAAATTCATCTATAAATATAGTCGAAATTCAGTTCGTTCTCACACCCTTCAAACGTTTCTCTCTCGATTTCCTCTCAATTTTCTCTCAATTTTAAGCCCTTTCTCCCTTAGTTTCAGTTGGTGAAGCTCTACGGTGTCAGATAGCCGACAACGAGGAGCTCTCGAGTTAGAGTTCTGCCTGTTTAATTCTTAGTTTTAATCAGTGCACTCTTTAAGTTAAGCTACACTTAATTTTATTCAAGTGTAACTTTTAATTATAGTTATAGTCGTTATTATGAACCTATACTTAAGATTTATCAATGATTCCAAGTCATTATATTGATCAATCTACTTATAGGAGTGATGCCTAGGCTGGATTTAATAAGGTGTTTAAAGTGGGTTTTCCAAACAGTATACTATGTATACCAAATGAACACTACCTTCGATATTATACTACCTGGTTGTTCCTTACTTAATAGATCTTGATGTAGACATTGTGATTTGTGAGAAATTTAGACTATCATTAGTCGCCAGGAGTATTAGACTAAACTTAGTGTCATTCGTATCTAGGTCACATCAGAGGAAATGTCAAGGAGCTTGGCGGAGCACTGCCGAATTCTCCAGTTACCCCCTAAGTCAGGTGAGAGCATAGTTACTTTCATCTTACACATAGATAAAAAGTATTTAGATAATTAATTACTATGTTAGCATATTATCTATGATTAGAACTTTTTGTGTTAGATGAAATTATATGAGCTAATCTTATTTAACCATATATGTACTTTTATACTTATAATATATGGGATAGTGAAGGGTAAAGAGAAATGAAAATAATGAAGAGAGGTCGAGACTTTTATAGTACTACCAGATTAGTAATGTAGTTACCTAGTAGGGTATTGATAATGACCACTGACTATTCTAACTCAAGTTAGGTCAAACATGGGCAGGTACACAACCTATAGATGTTTATAAGTTATAAATGGGGAAGTTCACTACCTGTAGGTGTCATTCAATCATATACAGGAAAGATTACATCATGTGTGTGTTAATATATCATTTTGCAGGTAGTTCTACGACCTGTAGGCATTGATAAATTGTACGCGGACAAGTCTACGCCCTGTAGGTTCTACCGAACTAAACACTGACAACTATGGATTTAGTGCCTATTAGACAAACACTGGTAACTATGGACTTAGTGCCAATTAGACAAACACTGGAAGCTATGGATTTAGTGCATATTAGACAAAGATTGGAAACTATAGACTTAGTGCCTATTAGATAAAAACTAGCATTGATGGACTTCGTGTATATTGCTTAGGACAAACACTTAGGAATGAATATAGAGAACAACCTACCGACAAGTATTAAGAAGGATTCCGTGAACTAGTATTGTCAACATAAAATATCCTTATGGTAGATACATAAGAATAAAGAAGATAATGATGATGGGCAATTGGTTTAATTGTTTGAAAATTAAACTATATTATTGATGGTTGAAAACCCTACGTACTCACCAGGTTTCCCAACCTGAACCACTCAGTTTCTTTCTATCATAGGTACTGATATATAATTATTTGCTGAGATATTCAAGGAGATGTAGATCGTTACTATATTGAGATATTGTAATTATCCGTTTATGCTTATGTTTCTTGTATCAATTATGACATCCTAAAGTTATACTAAATCAATGAAAATCATTTATTCGTAAAACTTTTTATGAGACATATCCCGCTATTATAAATGAACTCTGTTATTAAATAATCATAAACATAAAGTTTTAAAATGACTATGAAATAGGGGATGTCACATATACTCTCAGCAAACCCTATTCGATCTAATTTGAGTGTGTGTGAGGCTAACCCTAATTGATATAACCCTATTTTGAGTGTATGTGAGGCTAAAAGTGTGTTTTGTGCGTTTCTTGAAGAGGTTTGAAGAGCTAGGAGCTTGGAATGAGAAGGGGCTTGTAGATCCAACATGTACATCATTTTGGCATCCATTTGAAGGTAAAAAGTCATTACCTTGATCATTCTCTTACTAGATTTATTCATCCTAGAGTTTAGGGCCATTTATAGCTTGTCTTTGAAGCATTTTTGATTTTGAGCACGATTTGAAGTTGTAACTTCAGATCTAGATTCCTCTAGGCCCTCTTTGACATAAAGCCTCAAGCTTTATGAAGCTTTGGCCCTTTTCCTTACCCTAAACCTCTTCCTAAGGCTAGTTTTGAGTGTTTTGGCTTCTTGAAGCCTTGCATACACGTAAAGTTAGCAACTTTACGTGATAACTACACCATAGGAGTTTAGATCTACAATTTGGAGCCTTGGATTGACTTAGAAACGTCTGAATGAGAAAAGGACTGAAGGAACTCGACGTGTTGCATAGTCAACTCGACGAGTTGGATGATGGTTTCTCGCTTTCTGGACTCTGCATAAACTTGGCGAGTTAGCGAGATGACTCGATGAGTTGGTTAAAGTTTTCCCGATATTCTGGATGTTGCATGGACTCGACGAGTTACTTGGTAACTCAACGAGTTGATTGGGGTTTTCACGACTTTCTGAGTTCTAAAGAAACTCGACGAGTCTAAAAGCTGCACTCGACGAGTTAGGTCAACATGCACTATTGACCTTGACCGTTGACTTTAACTTTGACCAAGGGTTGACCAGTTTGACTTCTGAGGGTATTTTGGTATTTATGGAAGTGGATCATTGGTGGTTGTAGGTGTTGGTGTTTGGAGCCATATTTCGGGAGTTTGATATTTTAGTTCCGACTGACATTGTGAGGTGAGTTGTCCTCACAATACTAACAAGGTAGAAGGCACCAATGTCGGTCCTTATTGGATTGTTATCTTGGTTATTGCACGATGATATGCTTAGTGACATGTTAGTTCAATATCCTGATATATAGGATGATATGTTAGTGACCTGTTAGGTCGGTATCCTAATATATAGGATGATGCTATGATTAGTGATCTGTTAGATCGATATGACTGTTTGTACATGCTAGCTAGCTTATGATATTTATGTGTTGATTGTATACGGGGAGTTGGGTTGAGGCAGGACCTGCTTTGTGCTGAAGGCCAACAGACCAGGACAGATTGGATAGACTGTAGACCCATTAGGGCATATCAGTTCCAGATAGGCTGAAGGCCTGGGTTGGCAGACCAGACATGCTAAAGGTTCTGAGAGTGGGCCAGTTAGATTGCAGACCTGATAAGGGCAATCCAGTCTTATTGTAGACTCTATATGCATGCTGCTTGCTTGCTATGATATGGTTATGACTTGTATGAGGTTGATAGTCTGGGGAAACTCACTAAGCTTCGGGCTTACAGTTTTGGATTTTGTTTCAAGTACTTCGAATGATCGTTGGAAGGCGAATGCGTGATCGTGCACCTCCTTGCGTTTTTATGATTTTGTTTCTGGGATACTTTGATATGAAACTATTTTGAAAATATTTTGTAATAAATATTAGTTTTTGATTTTTTATTATTATTATTATTTTTTTAATGATTTTGTTTCATGAGTTTTTTAAATGGATGTTACAAGATGCAAGAAGGGAAAGTGGAGTGGGGGTGGTCCATAGAGAGAAGTGAAGGGTTTTATTTTAGTTATCAGAAGCATCGATTTCAACATTGGGGGTTATAGTTTGTTTGTAATTAGGTTTAATTTAATTAAAAAGGAGACAAATATTTAATAGACAAGTGTTTAATGGATTGTTAATTAATAATTAGTAAATAAATCAAAAAACAAATAAATAAGAGGAAAACAATCATTTAGTGTGGGGAGGGATGAGTTGTGTGGTGTGACTTTTAACCAAATGAACACCGTAATATTTAATTTTTGAAAATAAGAACCGAATGTCTTCCTACGTGTAATTAACTCTAACGTAATTCAATAAATAATGCTTATTTATATAATAATTAATCATGGACTGGTGAAACACATCGGTCCTTAATCACTCACACTTTTCCTCACAAGATCGGTATTTTTGATCACCGATTTTTAATTTTTAGTTGCAAAAGTATTAAGCAATTAACAGTCTTACAGTCAAGTCTTCTTCCCTACACTAACAAATTACCCGCCGGAAAAGGTCACCGGTGGTCACTTCAATAACAAGTTAACAACTATCTGCAGCTTCACTTTCCATCACAACCAGTTCATTAACCAAATCCCTAAAAATCAACCACTCAACCTCCATAACCACCACCGGACATCCACCATAAAACCCCCTCCAATTTTCCGGCCGCCTCACCACATCCTCCCTCAAAATCCTCTTAAACTCATCCCCCTCCTCCTCCTCCTCCTCCTCACCAACATCACACCTTTCACCTTTCTTCACCACCTGCATCTCTTCAATCTCCAAACACACCTCCCTCAAAAGCTCTCGAGGATTCTGAACAATCAATGAAACCGAATTTAACTTCTCCACAAGAATTTCATTAACAGCATCAAAAATCAACTTCCTGTGAAACTTCTCTTTCTGTAAATCACCAAATTTGGTTCGTTCCAACACCAAGAACAGCTCAGGGTTAATCGGGTGACCAGAGGAATGAAACTCAAACGATTCAAGGTCTCGAAGAAGGATTCCCGAAGCTAACAGGATTTCTGAAATGTATCTGTCGTTAGGGTTTGTGTTTTCACATAACGATGCAATGTAATCTGTGTGAGCTTCATTGTGGCTGGAGTTTAATCTCTTAAGTTTTTCAACCAAATCCTCAATTTTCTTAAGTTTTTCACGCTTTTGTTTAGAATAATCTGTTAATCAAATACTAGGCTTTAGTTTCATCATCATATCATGATATATGCATAAGAGTATTATGGGTTAGAAATGTAGAAATGTACCTTTTTGAGTATTTGGTGTATGTTTCTTCACAGGTGAAGGTGAATTATCCATATAGACTGAATCATCAAGAACAGATACTGGACTTGGATATTCCGATTCATCCACTTTCACAATCAAGGTTGATTTCTGGAAATAATATTAATAAAAATATAAGGAGACTGAAATTCAGTGGAAGTAATATAAAAATACAAGAACATACCTCTTGAGTTGAGCTAGAACTCTGTTTCCTCCTATTAGGAGACCTAGACTCTGATTGCTTTCTTGGTTTACAAGAATCTGTAATTTCAGTATTTGGATCTTTTACCTTTTTATTATTATTATTTATAAAACCCTTTTCAATAATCTTTCCTGGTTTCATGATGACAATATGTGATTCTTGACCAGTTGAAACATTCTCAGATGGTGGCCTTTGATGATCAATTGTATTGTCTCTTTCGCCCTTTCTTGCTTCCACAGCTTGCATTCCCTCTAATATCTGTTTAAGAGCTCTGAGATCCTTTCCAGATTCTAAAAATTCAAGATTCTTCAATCTTTTATCCACTTCACTATAAACAGAAGTGGATTTAGTAACACGAGGAGATTGTTTTTGAGGATTTTGACCACCATGTGGATACTTCCATGGTGCTGCTTCAATTGGAACCCTAGAAATCGGTTTCATGTCGGGATTTTTCCAACATTCAGATACTGGTTCTCTTGTGGAATTAGGGATTTTCAAAGATTTTGACAACAAATCAAGATCCTTATTGCTGGTTGATGTGGAATTGGGATAAGTTTCCAATCCCATTAACTTGGCTACAACACTGGGTGGTTTGGTCTGAATCAAGGATTTTTCATTAGGGTTTCTTGAATTTAGGTTAGATTTTGAATCATATGGTTTAAAGGGTACAAGTGAGATAGAGTTAAGAGTACGTATGGATCTCTCTTTACTATCTAAAGAAAGTCTTGGAACTTCTTTCAGTTGCTTTGGGGTTGTTGTATGTCCATCATATGAAAATCTTGGATAAATTTTAGAAAACTCATCTTTAAATTTGCAAGAGTTTGATCTTGAAAATTCATTAGCTTCATTATTACAATACCAATCGGGTTCTTGAAGTTCAACAAGAACATTATGTGATAACCCACGAGCTTCTCTATACATTGAATCTTTGACTACATCTCTAAGGTCAAGATTCTGATGTCTAGAGGCACTTGATTTATGAGTTTCTGGATTTGATCTTCTATTCGCATAAGAAAAGGGAGATGGAGGAGACCATGAGGATATAGATTCTTTATATGATTCTGTGGATACCCTGTGTTTTTCCATATAGTGCTTTTTTGAATGTTTTTCCTGAAAAAAAAAATGTGTAAAGTTAGAGTGAATTAGGAATGAGAATTATATCTCTAAAACTTATTGTTCTATTATCTACCTTGTTGTCTCTACAAACTTTAAAAAAAAAGTTATTTCAACTTTTAACTACACATACCAGATTAGGGCTTCTCTGGGAAATTACACTTGACTCTCTTTCAGGCGTCCCATTGTTGAAAAGCAAACCACCTGCATGAAAATTTAGTGAAAACAATCAACAATTACATTTACCTTTTTTGCATATATTAACAAGAGAAAATCATAACAAAGAGAAACTATCATAATTCATAAAGAAGTTAAGAATTACCATGAGGAAGCCTTCTAGGGGCATGGCTTCTGGAAACAATCTGGTGGCGATTAAAGATGTGAAAGACACCTGTCATGCATCCTATTTGCTTCCTCAGATCTGGATTTTCATCTGCCAGTGAATGCAAATACTTTGCAGCCATTTGAGTGATCACCCTTTCATCATACTGTTCTTCCCCTTCACAACCCTTGGATTCAACTTTTGACTTTTGATTGTAGGTGGAGTCTTTTTAAATGCAAAATGGATCTTGAAGACTTGAACATTATCCATTGACCATTAGTTAATGTTAAAGGTTAATCAATCTAGTCAACTTTTCTCTCAAACAAAATATCAAACAGTTGGAAGGCAAAGAGAGATATCAAGCACAAATTCCCATTTTACTATCTCTCTTCAATCTCAAAAATTTGCAATCATTTCAAATGCGATCCACCATTCTAATTCCTGTGATCTCAACCAAAATTCTCATACATTAGAAACGAAATTGAATGTCTCTCTCTAAGACTCTTACTATATGAGCAAACGCTCTCAGAAAGTGCCCTCAAGAATTAAACTCTCCAACTGAGCTGAGCTCAAGAAGGAGAAAACGGCTACGGGAATAAAATCAGAAAATCACAAACACAGTTTGTTCCCTATGGGATTTGTATACAAGATGTGATTTTGTTAACACATTACGTTGGGAGCAGAAGAATAGAAGGATCCTAAGATGAAAATGCGTATGTTTTACAGAATATAAAACAAAATTTAAAATGGGTATGGGTATGGACGTATGGTTAGAAACAAAAAAGATTTACTTACCGATTACAGATTAAGGACGTTGTAATGCAAATTAATATCATATGCACATGTTTACCTTGTAATTTGCAAATATCAATGTAACCCAGGAGAATATATGGTCTGAAGGTTGAAGAAGGGTATGTTTTCTCTTTCTCTTTTGGGGTGGTTTTACAGAGAATTGAGTATTAAGGGTTGGGACATGTGAATATTGGATCGTGGGATTTTTTTTATAGTTTTGAAGAAAGGATACATACATGTGGAATGTAATTAAATTAATAAATGGGGTTTAATTTTAAAAATTTGTTTACACAATATTATATAATATATTATAAAGCATTAGGGTAAATGTACACAATAACAAGATAATTTAAGAACTTTTTTTTATGACAACATATTTTTACATCAAATAACCTTAATTAGGTGAAGTATTTACCCCATTTAAAGTAAGAGAAGACAATACCTTAGATTTACATTAATAATATTTTTAGATTTCACTATAATTCGATGATCAAACCATTGTAACTCACATCTATGAAAATTTGATCATAGGTTAATGAAACCAAAAACTATATATTCCATTTGTTCGTGATCATGGATGTGATTTTTTAAATGTCAACTAATTAACCTTTACTTCTCAAAGTTGATAACACTTTTATTTTTTGGAAAATAGCTGTGTTTGACATGCTATTTTTCTAGTTTTTATAAATTATCATGTTTGACAAAAAAAAAAATCTTATAAGCTAACTTTTTAGACTAACTTTTGAAAACTTTTTTAAACTATTCAAAATGGACCCTTAATTAATTATAGTACACTCGTTATCTTAAATATCATTTTATATCGTTTTATCATCTAATTTACTAAACATTATTTTTTATCAGATAGTTTGTAAGCTAACAATTAATTTTTCATTTATCAACTAGTTTTTTTAGCTAACATTTAGTTTTTTAGCCGGTATGTTAAACATACCCTAAAAGATACAATAAATATTATAATTAAATTCAAAATAATTGATAATAGTACTACTAAATATGATCTTGGTGAGTTTTTAAGAGCTAAAAATAAGAATAACACCACATTTTATTTAATTAAATATTATAATTATCACACTTTCTTTATTTTTATAGAACAGAGGCAAGCCTTAGATTAATTTCCATAACAAGACATTGTACTTTCATAATATCAATAGAAATTTATTTGTATTAATTTGTATAATGTCTCTAGAATTGAGAGTGGTTTTCAAAATATAATTTTATGATAAGAAAAAAACGTAGTAATAAGCAAATTAATAAAAAAACATGTTATTGCTTTTTATTTTAATCTAATATTCCAGTTTGAAATATATAGTCAAAATAAAATAACTAATAGAAATAGTAATAATAAATTGAAATTTATTATTATTAATTGAAGAGTATTAATATATGAAACAACAACCATCACAATAAAATCAATGCACACCTTTAATCATCAAACATAAATAAATTAATGGTTACCTAATGCAGTAGTTGAAGTTATGTCCGGTCAATCGAATTCGTTATGGTTAAAATAGATATTAGATGATTAATTGATAAACTCCGGTCTACGTCTTAGCAATTTAGCATGGTGTACTTTTAGTTCAAGTCAAAATCTAAAATGAAATAAAAAGTTTAACTAGTATAATCTCTCTCTCTCTCTCTCTCTCTCTCTCTCTCTCTTTATATATATATATATATATATATATATATATATATATATATATATATATATATATATATATATATATATTATTATATATAATTAAGGTTTCACATGCAATAAGGGAAGTCACATGCATGTGGTTGACACTTGACAGGTTGAGGGCCAAGGTCCCAACTCTATTTTTATGGGATAGTTTAACCAATCCTACTCTAATCATGCAACAATATGTAACGCCATGTTACCAAGTAAAAGTTTAATTAAATGCAAAAAAAAATATACAAAAGAAAAGAAAGTCAATAGGGTAACCAAGTTGGTTAAAAGATGAACTTTTGAAAAATTAAAATAATAAAATTCCCTATAAAAACCGTGTCCAATTATTTTCAACTGGTTTACGTCAATTTTTGAGAAAAAAAAATCTGATAGCATAATAAGTTATAATAAATTCGAAATTTATAATTTTTGAAATATATATCGACTAAAAAAAAAATTATTTTCCAAGTGTATTCACCTTTTCCCCTCCCCTTCTTTGATGGTTTTCCTTTTTGAATGTCACATGATTCTCCGCTCCAACTTTGGAAAGTTATGATCACATTCAATTACATATATACACATCAATAATCAAAATATTAATTGTTTTCTGTCGTATTATAAAACAGTGCAATTCTTTCTTAAGATACATATCTAAGTGTATAAAAAGCTGGTAAGTTATGATTTAAAAGTATATATATAGTCGACGATGGACATTAGAAAATGTCCGAGAAGCATGATTGCCAATTGGGGGTGAGTGTGAGGGTGAGTCTACTGTCTACACTCTACACTCTACTCTACATATGAATTGAGTGGACCAACTAGAAATGATTTGAGCCTATATTCGTTACATTATTATTGTTATATGTGGCTCATATTTCATATGCATACAATACCTTTCCTTTCCTTTCCTTTCTATATATATATATATATATATATATATATATATATATATATATATATATATATATATATATATATATATATATATATATATATATATATATATATATATATATATATATATATATATATATATATATATATATATATATATATAGAGAGAGAGAGAGAGAGAGAGAGAGAGAGAGAGAGAGAGAGAGAGAGAGAGTATGTAAGGGACGAAAAATACAACAAAATCAAACCATAGGGACGAAAAACGCAACAAAATCAAACCACATGGACGATCCGAGTGCAAAAAAAATGTTAAGGACCAAACGTGCAATTTTGACCAAACCACAGGGACGATTTCAGTAATTTACTCCTATATATATATATATATATATATATATATATATATATATATATATATATATATATATATATATATATATATATATATATATATATATATATATATATATATATATATATATAGAGAGAGAGAGAGAGAGAGAGAGAGAGAGAGAGAGAAGTGAATATGTGGTTGTGTATGAAATATTAGGTATAATACCCTCTAAATTGGCTTTATTTTAATTTAAAAAAAATACAATTTTCTTTCATTGCTAGCTTCTTCCTATTGCTTTTTGAATTCATATTATTTTTTATTTTGCAATTCATTCCCAACTTCTATGTATTTCGAATGTGTTTTTTTTAGACCTCTAATAGAAGCATCATAACTTCCTCCGACACTTATCTGATGTATACTTGCATTTTTTTTTTGATGGATTATGGGAAAAGGTTTATTTGATTTTTTTTGGAAAGGGAACTTTCATAACAAGGGTTTCCAAGCCAACTTTCACGTACCGACTAATCCTCCACTGCAAACATGAAGCTTTGCCTCATTCCCTGGAGTCACTGTAGGAGATCTTCATGGCCATAAGGGCTGGGTGGTGCCATGATTTGAACATGGATCAATATGTTATCTATCATATATTCCACATGCATTGCCAAGTCACCACAACTCAAGTGGTTGGTTTATCTGGTTTTTAATGAACAATTTCAATATTTCATTATAGTTCTCTGTAATGAATTTCAATATGTTGAACTACATGTAGTTGATAAAATATTATTATACACGGTTTGTGGTGTAAAATTAAACTTATAAAACTCTATAAAAATATATACAAAGCCTAATATAAGCTCTACAAAGAGGATACATGAAATATGGTAGAGATATTTGATTGAATTTTGTTAAAATTATATAGTTTTAATGGTTCTATACCTAATATTATGTGTATATATATATATATACACACACACACACACACACACAAGTCGTTTACCTGTGCTAAGTGACGGGTGTGAATAATTTTTTCAGAAATTAGTTTCTAGAGGCGAACAATTTTTTGCACAAAATTCAGTGTTTTTTGTCCTAAAAATGGTATATTTAATAAGTTTAATAGATAATAGATAACAAATATATATATACATAACACTAAGAATTTTCTTACATTTGATAGTGGTGTGTGTTAGTCTTCAAGTTGTTTACACTCCAATTAACTCAGACCGATCGAGTTCTTGAATTTGCTTTGGAAATGGATTGTTTTTTTAATGCTAAATGAAATCCAACTATCAAAGTCCAATAAATTGGTTAAAACGTTTTTTTTATCGTTTCCATCACATCGATCCAACCTTGTTTTTAAGGAAGCCGGCCAATTCAATCTAGTTTGGACTCTGTAAAATCTTATGATGTGATTACAACGACAATAACATATCTCACTTGT